TACAGTACGTATGTCTTTGTGTCACTTGGCTCTTGGGGCAGGAAAAGATCTGGTGGTGCATATCCTAGTATGTGGGTGGATTATTGTCATTCTATTTCTCTCCTTGTTTATCTTCAAGGCTTTCTCCAATATTGTTTTATGTCCATTTATGCTGCCAACATTTATCAGGTTACCCTTTCTCATTTTTCCAGTCAGACTAGTCAACAACAGAAGTATACTCCATAATACCAAGCCACCCTACCCTTTGTTTAGATACACTCATCATGGCTAAAATAGCCATGGCCGATTAAACACAAAAGACTTGCCAGGTGCTTTATTTTAGTCCTAATCTTTCATAAAAATATGTGTGGAAGGCATTACTATCTTTGTTTTATAAAGAGAATGTAAAAAAAAATCTAGTCTCTTTTAACTTCGTTGTACTATACAAAATTATTGTTATACCAAAATCCATTCATGCATTTACTCACGCATCATTCATAGATGATGGTAATTACACCTCTATGCATCAAATGCCTATTTTGTGAAAATAATGATCTTAAATATTATGAGGATTATATTAGCTCTCATATAGCTCCGATCTCAGGAAGCTTGCCGGATAGACAGAGAGATAACAATTGAGCATGATGATTAAAATATAAGAAACTATGGACTTCTACTAGGTAGTTTTGAGGTTGTAATCACTATGACAGTATCAAATTCAAAAACAAGTTACATACACAGTTGTCAGTGACTGAGGGAATGTTTGAGCAATCTGGCAATCTACAAAGAAGTAGTTAACTTGGAATTCAGAGGAAAGTTGAATGGAGCAGGAGAGGTTACACACACACACACACACACACACACACACACACACACACACACACAGTGTGTAGCATTTGCACAGAACTGAGCATATTCCAGAGGTGGAGAAAGCTGTTTTGTGTGATCAGGATATATGAGCCAGGAGGTGGAGGTATGCCAAATGTGAGGTATGAAATGGACAGAAGTCAGGTGCCCAAGGGTAGCATTTCTAGCATCAAAGTTCTCATTGAATCAAAAAAGAAAGTTTTCCCAGCTTTTTACCAAACACAGAAATACGAGTCTCAGTAGGAAGATGAATACAGCGCTGAAGAGAGGAGTCAGTGGGTAAAGGACTTTTCACACAGGCCTGAAGACCTGCGTGTGGATCCTGGGATTAGCTTCCTTAATCTCAGAACTGTGGCTAGAGGGGCGGAGGAGAGAGGCGAATTACTGGAAGTCTTCCATCTGCATCGAGGGACCAGCAAACAGAGGAGCCAGCCTCAAACAAGGCAGAAGGTGGAGACTGACACCAGCATTATCGTCTGACCTCCACACATGTACTATAGCACATGTGTGCCCCCCCACATACATGTCCACCAAACACACACACACACACACACACACACACACACACACACACACACACACACTCACACACAGGTGCACACTGGATTGTAGAAATATACCATTAAAAAATTATAATTTTGGAAGGAAAAATATACGCTGTGAGCAATCTTTCAATGTTGGAAGTATTTAAGTTTGTTAGATTTAGTGTTTTTCAAACTTTTTTTTTTCCAGTTTGGGTTCTAAAAATGTAAGATAAGAAATCCCGTTCATAGTGTGTGGGTAAAGACCATTTTTCTCAATGTCAAGCTCTTCACAATTTGAATAAGTATTTTAGTTCCATTGCTGTTTGCCGACTTAAGGGTCATCTCAAAAGAGACTTATCAGGCACAGCTCCGTAAAGGAGAAGCTGTGGTGCACAGTGGAAGGAGGAGAGTAATCTTTCTGTTTGCTTATAAAATACAGAAATTAGCTGGACCTTAGTGTCTGGATTGTAGCTCTGGGCCTACTGTATTTCTTAGCTACATGGTCTTAAATGGATCAGCCCATTGATGTTATTCCATAAAGGTACTAGTATTACAGGGTTTTATGAGGATTAATAATGACTCACATAACAAAGATATAAATATGCCTAGATATTTTCCCATTACTTTCTGTAAAAAATATTTATTTTTACTAATTTTACTCTGTGAATGTATGTGTCTGTGCACATGACTGCAGGTGCCTGTGGAGATCATTAGAGGGAGTTGTATCCTCCTGGATTTGGGGTTACAGATGGTTGTGAGTTACTCTCTGTGGTTGCTGGGAACCAAACTTGAGGCTTCTGTAAGAACAATTCAGAACTGCTGAGTCATCTCTCCAGTCCTTGTTTCCTCTTTCCTTCTAATTCTCTTCTGATTTTTCTTTCTTTCTTTCTTTTTTTTTTAAATATCCATGATTTAGTTTATAGATCTATGAAGAAAGACAACAGACTTCCCTAAATTTGGTGAGGCTGAAACATCATAGTGAAAGGGTGTGGCAGAGCAAAGCTGCTCATCTTGGGGCTTGGGAATATGTGTGTGTGTGTGTGTGTGTGTGTGTGTGTGTGTGTGTGTGTGTATTATGCATGTATATGTATATATATCTTATCTGTTCCTCTAGATTACCCCAACTAATATAAAACCTAATTATAATAGAAATTATATAGCACATATAGTTTAATTGATATTTTTCCTTCCTTCCTTCCTTCCTTCCTTCCTTCCTTCCTTCCTTCCTTCCTTCCTCCCTTCCTTCCTTCCTTCCTCCCTCCCTTCCTTCCTCTCTCTCTCTCTCTCTCTCTCTTTTTCTTTCTTTCTTTCTTTCTTTCTTTCTTTCTTTCTTTCTTTCTTTCTTTCTTTCTTTCTTCCTTCCTTTCTTTCTTTCTCTTTTTCTCTCTTTCTTTTTCTGTGTAGACCTGGCTGTCCTGGAATTTGATCTGTAGACCAGGCTGGCCTTGAACTCAGAGATCCACCTGCTTCTGCCTGCCAAGTGCTGGGATTAAGGGCATGTACCACCACTGCCCAGCTATAATATTATTTCTTGTACTATAGATACTATTACATAGAGATGTGATATACAATAAAGCTTTATTGACTTTATTATGGCACATTTTGAAATAAGCTGAACCTCACCCCACCTGAAATCCTGGGAATGAGTCTGTTTTCAAAGCAGGATCAATGTTGGTACATCACAAAGAGAAATTTACATACTTGTTCATTTAAATATGAAACTAATAACATAACATTCACATAAGTATCCTTTCCTAATCCCAACACTAAAATCAACAGCAATAGCAAAAAAAAAAATATTTTGGTAATGTAAAGCACACTTCATGAAGGGAATTTCAATGTTCAAGTCATGTCTGTAAGTCAGATTCTCACTAAGAATGAGATTCACTATTTTATTTCCTATTTTTTTTGGAAGTGTAAGCTAAGTTCCTTTAGAGAGAAAGAAGGAAGACATGAAATTGGGAGGGAGACATATTGGGAGAGTTCAGGGATGTTGGAGGGGGAAATAAAGAATATGATCATCATATGTTATCTATGTATATGAAACACTAAGGATTTGTTTATTTATCATGTATACAGAGTTTTGCCTCCAGGCCATAAGTGGGGACCAGTTCTCATTACAGATGGTTATGAGCCACCATGTGGTTTGCTGGGACTTGAACTCAGGACCTCTGGAAGAACAGTCAGTGCTCTTAACTTCTGAGTCATCTCACCAGCCCCTATTATTGTCTTTTAAAAAAACAGTGCCAGGTGTCATGGATCACAGCTTTAATCACAGTACTTGAGAGGCAGAGGCAGACAGATCTCTGTGAGTTTGAAGCCATCTTGGTCTACATAATGAGCTCCAGAACAGCTGTGGCTCCATAATGAGACTACATTTTAAAAAGATGATATAAGGTAGTGTTATAGACATTTGTATACATGAATGTTGTTTCTAGTGGTTCCAATTTACAGTCAGGGAAAAGCATGTAGATTGTAACACTGACTTACAGGGTCACACCATTCATCTAGAAACTTGCCTAACTTAGCCAAGAGAGTAAGTTGACATATAGACTTGAGTTCTAAGAATCTGTGGTCTCTTAGTTGAAGACATAAATAATAGAAGACAGGATCCTTTTGAAATATGCTGGATATAAATACGGTTGTGTAAATATTCAACAGAATAAAGTCATAGACACGTCATTAAAACTCACTGCAGAAAATGCAATGAACCCCTTATGGACACAAACCACCTTTATCTTTCAAAACACCTTTTTAGTACCAGCAAGCACAGTAAAGAACAGAATTAAAATTTTTTAAATTAAATCAGAACAAGATTTTGTGTTGTTTTTAATTAGATCTCAAATTTTTGAGTTTAATGATAAAGGCCTGGGAGCCAGACACTGGGGTGAAAGCCTGCTAGCTCAGAGAGGTAGAACCTCCTCCACTGGTGTCCCAGAAAACAAGGCCTTTCTCCTAAGCAGTCTCAAACAACAACAAAAAACCTCAAACCGAATGTCCCTCCCTTCTGCGTCCTGTGCATCTTTTAATGCATCCTCCTCCTGACTCCCTCTTACTCTCTGTTTTTTTTTTTATGTTCACTTCCTGTCAACTGGATGCTTGCTCCATCTCTTGACCTATGACTGACTTTATTTAATCCTGTTTACAGTAACTAGAAAGCTCTTAGATTAAAGGTATGTGTGCTAGGGCTAAGCCACACTACCACTAGAAACAGATTTTTCCAGTAAGTAACACAATTTTGGGGTTCACAGTGTGATCAAATATCCTGCAACAATTTTGCTAATTTATTTTGAAATGGCATCTGAACAGGTACCTAGAATACTTGCTTTTCCAATTTCCAGAATCAGAACTTTGCTATTAGCAGTTAATGACTTGTCAGGTTTCATGCTCCTATGGTCTCCTTTATTGTTGCACTTGAATCATAAAGTTACAAGGTAAAAAAAGAAATTTTAGGTATTTCAAGAACATGTGTGAAGAGACACTGTCTGTAGCCTGACCTTGATCAGCCCTAAAACAATTCTTAGAATGAGGATTTACACACACAGCCAGAAAGCATGTGACACATCATCTTGCATTCATAGTGTAAATGAAAAAGGCACTGTTAAATTACTAATGAAATTACTACAGCATTTACACATAAAGTAACAAGAGATGAAGAAGTACATTGGCTCTAAAGGAGTAAGAAATCCAAAGATTCCCTGTTCAGAATCTCTGCTGCATTCCTCTTGCCGTATGTGTTCGATCCCACGTTGGTTGGTGGAAGGACAGGACCAAGGTTGTTGCTCGAACGGACCAAAAAGTTTGTCAGGCGTTGTGTGGCACATGTGGCTGTGTTGCACTTCCGTTTGTCCACCAGGTGATTGGTACCACTGAGCAAATAAGAAAGAAGTACCAGGTTGAGAGGTAGCCATGTCATCTCCACTATCTCGTGCAGTGAAAGAAGGGGAGTATTTTTATAGAAGTCACTCAGGACTTTGGCTCTTTCTGACACCTAGAACATGTAGAAGAATCATTTTTTGACCACAAAACCACACAGCACCTTCCACTGGGGTCAACATTGCAGTTCACAATACAAGGAGTAATCTCTGGATAGTTGGGGCACATGTTCTTATAATAAAAAATCTCTATCTTCTAAGTCTTGTTGGTGGACATATTTTCTGTTATACATAAAGGATTTGGAATGTATGATTTAAATCTAGCCTGGAATATGTGGATATTCTAAAGGTACATTCATTTCCTCTATCTTTTTGACAAAAATTAAACAATATTTTTCTGTTTCTTGAGATTACTCAGTTAAAATATCAAGAGAAAGATGCCATGAGGAAATTCTGCAATATACAACACTAAAGACATTGTTCAAAGTGAGATAACTCAGGTACAGGAAATTACATACAGTGAACACAAAGGAGACATCACACACAGTCAAACTTGTGAATCAAGTACTGGAATGCTGTTCACCAGGTAAGGGGCAAATTGCTGGTTACTAAGCTGTAGGCAGCAAGGTGAATGTGTTCTTAAGATCACTGGTCAGCAGTACAAAATTTTTGCATGCTAAAACATTTTGTGAGAGCAGATTTCACATTGAGTATTCTTACTACAATAAACAGTATAGAAACATTAAAAAGACAGATAAGGCTGGGCGGTGGTGGTGTATGCCTTTTATCCCAGCACTCAGGGTTCAGAGGCAGGCAGATCTCTGTGAGTTTGAGGCCAGTCTGGTCTACAGAGCAAGTTCCAGGACAGCCAAAGCTACACAGAGAAATCCTGTCTGGAAAACCAACCCCCTCCCCCAAAAAAGACAGATCATATTGGGTGATTAAAAGATCATCTAAAAGTTACTATACAGTCACAGGACAAATGAATTGATCACTGTTCCAGTGCTCGTTGCACCATGGGAGTCCTTGGCATGAATATGCAGACCTCTACTTTTCAAAAATTTTCATGTTAGGGCTAGGCTAACTGTGACAACTGGAGTCTTTGTATGTCGAGGGCATAAGATCACCACATTTTTAGCCACTAAAATAACACTAGCAATATCTCAAAACTTATAACTGTGATTTAAAATTCATTTGAATTTTGGTACATTTATTTATTATTATTTTTGAGTCTAGCCATGTAGCCTAGGCTGGCCTTGACTTTTCTATATAGTCCAGGCTGGCTTCCAACTTGTGATTATTCCACTTCTCCCAAGTGTTGGGATTACAGGTATGTGCTACCACACCCGGATGTACCTCTATTTGAGACATTTATTTATTTCAACTCTATAGACGTGGAATATCTCAGGTCTTGGTTGGTCAGCTTTCTGCTTGTAGAAGAACACCTTAAATAAATCAACTTACAAACAGGAAAAACATTTGGGCTTGCCATTTGGAGGACTCAGCCCAGGGTCATTGGTCCTGTTGTTTGGTACTAAGGACACGTGACCAGCAGGTGATTATGAGATGAAGCACACTGGTAACGGCCTGGTGACTAGGAAGCAAACAAAAAGAGGGAGAAGAATAAATTGTCTTTCCAAACCTCCTTTGAAAGTACAAGTACAGTGGCCCCAAACCCTTGCTCTGCCTTCCCCTCTCCAAGTTTCTACTACCTCTTACAGGTACCATGCTTTAGGGACCAAACTTTTGAGACTTGGGGCTTTGAAATGTATTTCAGAAATAAACTTTATCAGTGTGCTTTCAAAATGGTATTTCAGATGGATATAGAATAGGAACGCTGACTACTGGATTGATTTTTAGAACACCCTGGGAAGTGCTGTAGTTTTCAGCTCCATAGAAATCAAATTACTATTAAAATTTAGGCTGGTCCACGGTGGCACTTGCCTTTAATCCCAGCACTCGGGAAGCAGAGCCAGGCAGATCTCTGTGAGTTCGAGGCCAGCCTCGGCTACAGAGTGAGATCCAGGACCGGCACCAATGCTATAGAGAGAAACCCTGTCTCAAAACAACAACAGCAGCAACAACAACAACAACAAAGGATTTAGATACATGTAAAGTGGAAAGTAAAAGTTATGGGGCTAAAAACTCAATGCCCAGGACAATGTAGAGGACGTGCAGCTGGGAACTAAGTGCTATGAATGCCTCTGTGAGGACTTTGTGGGTGGGAGTGTTGAATCATCATTGCCTCTGTGCAGAGATACCCTAGGCCTAAATGTTTTATATGAATTTTTAAAATTATTTTGTCTCCTTACTGCTGTATTTCCCCCAGTTAGATTCCGTCAGCATCGAGTGATCTGGCTATCTGTTTTGTGTAAATATACAATAAAGGAACAGTCAGTAGCCAAAGGAAGCCCACTGTGGGACTCAAATGTTCAATTTTTTTTTCTTTTTTTGAAGCAGTTTCCCACTTTTTAATCTCAGACCAGCATCGTCTTCCTCCACCCCTCTCTAGTGCAGGGATTACGAGTGTGTGCCACCACACCCAGTGCAATCCACATTTCTCATCTGTAGTCATCTCAGGGATATTATCCCTTCTTTGAAGCTGTAGCACACATGAACACGGTACTTCAAAGAAATGACTTAATGCTTTAAAGAGTTTTGCCAGTGTTTCCAAACACATGACATTAAATTTTAAATAACATGACTTTTCCTAAAAAACATCTGGGCACAGGAGTTGGTCTGTGAACCTGAAAACTGATAGATTTAAGACAGTTGAGAACATGATCTATCAATGCAGGGCAGTCTCTGAAGGTGTTCTTGATGGTGATGGGAGCAGACTGTAGAGTTCTCCACAAGCAGGTGGCTGGACTTTGAGAACTGATTAGAGGGCAATAACAACACCTTACGTTATCTAAATAAAACATTCTCACATTGAGTTAGCTGAAAGGACCACCACGCCTCATGAAAAACACACAGGAATCTCTTAAGCTTGTGTCCCAGATGCAGTATTGCTTTCCCCAAGAAACCTTCCATCTGAAGATGGTGAGAGAATGCACACGACTATTCAAACAGTCATTGAAATGTCCGGTAAGGGTCACATAGCCAGTGCAAGATGTGCTATCTCCATTGTAGGTATTTCTTTTCTTAATGACTTGTCTACATTAACATTCTTTTGTAGAGGTGTGAGGCTACTGCTAAGAGCTGCTAGTGATCCAGCTAGGTTTGAGTGTGAGTGTGAGTGTGAGTGTGTGTGTGTGTGTGTGTGTGTGTGTGTGTGTGTGTGTGTATCCTCCATCCCCCAAACGGGTACTGATGTAAAGAAATGCACTAAAAGGCATTTTAAGGATGTCTTATGAGTGTGTACAAGATAAATCATTATGAGAAAACAGGAAGATAATATGACAGACAGTAATGCTGTGATTTATTCTATTTTAGAGTAAAGTTCACTGTATAAGATGTGAGCACTCACAGACACACTTGGTAGAGGTGCTGAGCAAATCTCCATATATACTTGTAGAAAAAAAATCAAACACACTGGCAGACACATTAGGTAATACTGTTAAATTTTCCATCATGATATAATTGTTCTTATTAGAAACTTCATATTGGTTTTACAGTTATTTTTAGCCATGAAAAAGCCAATTGAAAATTACAGTCAGTTCAGAGAACACTGTGTGAAACCAGGTAAGTGTTCAGATGACAAAAACCATTTTCTAATAATTCCTGCTATTAATCATAGCTAGTGCTATAGAAATGTCTGCACATTGACACAGACTTTCACCAAAGAACAAATACCCCAGAGACAAAGAAAGAGATGATGATGATAATCTATTGAGAGACTTAAATCACATTCTTTTTCAAAGGTGCATTTAGTTCTTTGTGCTGTCAAGAGTGATTACGTCTGGTCTCCTAAGATATATGGAGCAAAACTGATTTAGGCACAAATTATTGTTACTTTGTTTAAATCAGATTCATGGATTTGGTAATAGGAATCTTTTAAATAGATGGAGAATTACAGTTTTTAGTGGTTTCCGTCTGAAGCTTGTAATCACTACTATTCTGCCAGCCGCCTTAAATGACCTTAGATTTCCTCAAACCACTGTTTAGTTTTCTTTGTTTCCCTTTGATATTTCCAACAAGCCTTCCTCAGAAATCATGATGATGTCTATGTACAGTCTACACAGTGACAATATTTCAGGTATTGCTAATTAACATCCACAGATGCTCAGAGTCATCTTGTGCAGAATTTATATCTCTGTGTGACCACAACATGGAATGACTTTCAAACAGCAAATGACTTTTTAACTATTTCTGAAATTTAACTTCTTAAAAACACCTTTCATTTGCTTCCACTCTTATAGTTTCAAATTCCTGAAGGAGATGTATAAGTTTGGATACTTCCAGACCCCTCTGAAGAGGAAAAACAAGCAGTTTAAATATGCAGCAGAATTCCAAGTGACATAAAAACCAATGTTTTGTTCAATCCCTTCAGTTTCTTTCTGTATTGGGTTCAAACAGTATGACTGTCTGCCTGTCAGTTTTCCTGGCATCTTACTCTGGCTTGGCCCCTGTAGGTTCTAATAAATTCCAGACAAATGTTGCTGTCCATGGCCATCTACAAGAAGTTCTACCAGTCATTCCTCAGTCACTGACTTTGTCCTGGAAGAACACAGACTTGGGAAGCCTTCCCCTTCAAGTACTGCTAACGGCAAGAATTGCTTAGAAATTGAAGAATACAAGGGCTGTTAGTTACATAGCGGTGTTGAATTCTATTTTCCCCACACTTTTCAAAAGAAGTAGGGATTTTCAGGTTACCAACCTTCTGACAGGTGTAGCTTTCAAGTGGTTTAGTGCCACAGAGAGGATGAGGAGAGCAGCTGGCAGCTTTAAGATGTGCATTGCTTCTCAAGTTCCCTGAGAAGAGAAAACATTGAAGTCAAGCCACGTCCTTCAGTTCTGATTGATGCAATTTTAAATTAAAACCTTCAAAGAAAATTTAAAGCATACTTTACAAGGATTTCTGTTATTTTTTACTTATGCCTGTCAACTTTGAAATAGTTTCAAAACGTTCAAGTTTCTTTTTAAAACAACATGAAAATTTCTATTATAACACATTATTCTTTTACTCTCTTCATGAAGTAATTCCTACATGTAGCACAAAGATTACTTTTCTTTTAGTAAATAACATCTTCCCAAGCACAAGATGTTCTTTACCTTTTAGTAATCAGTGGCAGCAATATCAGAAAATGCCTTGATAGCCAGAAGCTTCAGGAACCACAGCCCAACTCCGCTCGCCTGGCTTGACAACTAGCAAGCTGGCTTTTATACACCCCTCGCCTTGCTTAGCTCTGTCACCAGGGAGGCTCTGTCATTAATTTCCATCTTATGGATGGAAAGTGCTTCATAGGCAGCAGGAGCACATGGGCCATCATCTCATTAACACTTGGGTAAATATTAGCAGAGCACATACTGAGTGCCTTTGTGGGGTTAATGGTCCATCAAGGGAAGAAGTTTTGGGGTTTCCATTTTTGTGAAATATAAGTGATATTTTCAAAAATTAGTATAACAGTAATCAAGTGACATTTTAAAAAGTTTAATGAATAACAATAAAGTGTGCTTATATGCAAAGAGAATGCTAGAGAAATAGGGGAGTTATAGCCACTCTCTCAAGGCTATGGACACTCAGAAATAGTTTGTAAAACTGTAAGAACTATTTTGTAAGCAGTTCATAAAATGGAAAACTGAATGGACTCAGTGGCCTTTAAAAGGATTATAGGCTCCAAAGCTACACAGAGAAACCCTGTCTTGACACCCCCCCAAAAAAAAAGGATTATAGGAAGTTAAGAGAGAGAGTACAAGAAGTGGGAGGCATTCTGGGGGGAGTTGGAGGGGAAGGAGTGGAGGATGGATTTGATCAAAGTACATTGTAAGCATACATGGAATTCTCAAGAAACAAAGAAATGTGTGTGTGTGTGTGTGTGTGTGTATACAATAATAGGAGCCATTTATAGTGAAGTGGGGGAACACCAAAGACATAAATCCAGTGATTTTACATCTAAAATACTATTTATCAGGAGTTAAGAGACTCCTCATTGTACGTAAGGACACAGTCTTATTTATTTGTTTGTTTGTTTATTTGTGTGTGTGTGTGTGTGTATGTGTGTGTGTGTGTACATATTTAAGTGTGGTTTTGAGTGCATACATGTAGAGGCCCAAGGACAATCTCAATAGTCAACCTTAAAAGGACCAAATTGTCATGGACCTGAAACTTGCCAGACATTTTTGGTGAGGGTGCCCCAGGATCTTTCTGGTTCACCTTCTCATGTTCTGGGGTTAGGTGCACATACCACCACACCCCACTGTAGCTAGAGTCTTCCTGCCTTGCCCACAGTCAGGACAAATCTCTGTCACCCACCAGTCCCACAACCTCTCAGACACAACCAAGTAAACACAGAGACTTATATTGCTTACAAACTGTATAGCTGTGGCAGGTTTCTTGCTAACTGTTCTTATAGCTTAAATTAATCCATTTCCATAAATCTATACCTTGCCACGTGGCTCATGGCTTGCCAGTGTCTTCACATGCTGCTTGTCATGGCGGCGGCTGGCAGTGACTCCTTCTGCCTTCCTGTTCTTTCTTTTCTCCTCTCTGTTAGTCCCACCTATACTTCCTGCCTAGCCACTGGTCAATCAGTGTTTTATTTATTGACCAATCAGAGTAATTTGACATACAGACCATCCCACAGCACCCCACAGTTTTATATGGCTTCTAAAGGCAGACCCTTATGTGAGGCAAGCACTTTTATGACTGAGTTGTCTCAGTCCCCATCCCCTTACTCAAATGGAGTTTGTCCTATAATTGCTTTCCGAGAGAAAGATCTTGCACAGGAAAACTCATGGTCTTTTGTTTCTGATCATATCTTTATTCCATTTAAAACATTTTATTTTGTTTTGATGTGCAGCCCCATGTTGGCCAGTCTGGTATTGAACTCCACATGTAACCAAGGATGACTTTGAATTCCTCATCTTTCCTCATCTCCTGAGTGTTAGCATTCCAGATGCCATTCCTTGCTTTCAGGCATGTCTTCTCTGCTATAAGTGGATCTTTATGATAGGTCGCTTAATTTATATTTAGACTTTCATAGGCATTATATGTCAGCAATGACCACTTTAGCAACTATACCACTTAACCACTGGTATGGCTGTAAAGAAAAGTGATTTCCTTATAGAGAGAGCATTCCGGATTCTTCAGGGTGACTTTTAAAACACTCTACAGACTCCCTTTGGATCTTTTCTTTATTCTTGGCCTGTGAAATTTTGTCTGATGTGTCTTGGGTTTTATTTTTCATCAAAAGAGTTGAAAAATCAACATTGTAAATACATAAATGTGACTCCTCCTACTTGGGGATTGAACCCCAGGCTCCTTGCACACTAGGCAGCACTCCTCCACTGAGCATTAGCTCCAGCCCCCAGTATCTCTTTTGTTCCAGATACTGAGGTGCAAGAGCTGTGGGGAGGTGAATTAGAGGTAAAGTGGATTAAGTTCCTGCTTGATAGAGCTTCAGGTCTAGCTGGTTTAGAGGCATTTAGCATTAGCAATTGAAGGAGTGATGGTGAATAACATTCTAAAGTAATTTCAGGGTAGCATGCAGACAATGGCTGCCGAAGTGAAGTCAGCCAAACAGAAAAGCCAGTGCAGTCCAGCAGCACAAAGGAAAAGCTCTCTGCTGGCCAGAGCTTGAGGAACTGTGGGGAAGAAATCTCCCCTATGAACTTTCCATGAATAAATAGTATCTTTGTGTTTATGTGAATATGGAGTAGGGAGAGTGTCCTGTATATACAAGCTAAAACCTAATGAGTTGAATGCTTGTGAGTCTTGCATGGAGTGAGTCTGTGTGATTAACCTGTTCATTTTATTTCCCTTATGCAAATTATTTTCTGTGGTATTCATTTGAAAAGTAGTTATAATATTTTTTATAATATTATAATGTATATAATAATTATGACAGATCTCAAAAGATCATTTAGACTTAATATACTTACCTCTTTGGCTTTGAGTATGTTAAAATTCTCAAAAGAGGTGAACCAGTCCTTTTAATTAAAAAAGAGAGACAACAAAAAGACCCTTATTTAAATATGTATCTGCTTGGGAGAAACACAAAATTAAAGTTGAAGGTAGTAATACATTAGTAAGAATTTACTAATTAGGTAATCTTTCTGGCAGCTAAAGTAGAGCTTGGCAAGGAAGGCTGTGGACAGTGGGTCAGGGGTAGGGTACTGTGTCTCAGGCTCCAGCAATGCTCAGATCTACCGGGGGTCTATGGGACCGTGGATAAAGGTGTGGTATTGTGCTTCCTTCAGTCTTATTGATATACGAAATCTCCTCAAAGGCAGTACATATAATTTTTTAGTTCCCTCAGTCATTTGGTGAATGAGATTTATCTAAATTTTGAAAATACATGAATTTATTTATGGAAGTACCAATTCTCAGTGTTCAGGAGTAATTTTTAGGAGCATCAAAGGATGTTAGTTACTTCTTGGGTAAAGAAATGTTTAATCCATCTCATCCTTTCTTTTTCTCTTGCTTTGTTTTTCCCTTTCTTTTCTTTTGGTTGTTTTGTGACAGGGTCTTACAATGTATCCAGGATGGTCTGTAACTCACCTATATAGCTTAAGCTGGCATCAGGGTTAGCTTATTGTCAACTTGACACAACCTAGATTCATCTTGGAGGAAAGTTTCAATGAGAAATTGTTTGTGTTGGGTTGGCCTGTGGGCATGTCTGTGGAGGATTGTTTGTGTTAATTGATATTGGATGACAACTTTACTGTGGGTAGCATCATTCCTAGCCAGGGGTTCCTGAACTAAATGAGTGTAAAGGGTACCTCTCTAGCTAGCCAGATCAACTAGATTAACCCTGATGATCAATGGCATGACAGATTTCACAGCCACATCACCCTCACATCCTAAAGTACATTCTTAATGGAAAGTCCTCAGTGCCTCCTTACAGAGAAGCATGGGAAACCTGAGCCACCTGAAAGTAATGTTTTGGAGCTGGTTTACTTAAAATTGCACCAGGTAGATGAACACTGTCATCCAGAGGAAAAGAAAGCAGTAACTGCATGATGGTAGGTCTAATGGGATTCCAAAGAAAAGGAATCTGAGTAAATTACATCAATTTGCTGCATTGTCTAACCAAGACCCTTTCAGCTATGCGCAGATGAAATTGAAAAAAGATGCATGTCCACAAAAGCATAATTACAGCTTGTTTAGTAATAAATGTAAAACTTCATCTAATTATATTAGCTAGTACTGATGAGTCATGATTAAGGGTCTTTTGCAAAAACTTCAGGGGAAATGAAGCCTGTGGCCATAGCCAATTAGCACCATGATTCTTTGGTTGTGTGAATTAAGACTCTTCCTGTGACTCAGCTAATGTGCTAAGAACTGGAAGATTAGATGAACTCAGATAGGCTGCAGTTTGTATTTAACCTATGTCTATCTATGTTACATTTTAGCATCTTTCAGGGTAGTTAGAGAGATGGATCCAGTGATTAAGAGCACTTAGTGATCCCCCAGAAGATTCCAATTCAGTTCCCAGCACCTGTTGGGAGGCTCACAACTGCCTGTAACTCCAGTTCCAAAGGATTTGTCACCTCTGGCCTCTCTGGGCACCTCTACTCACATATTCCTGACCTCATGCAGATACGCACATACACACACACACACACACACACACACACACACACACACACACACACATATAAATTAAAATAATAAAAAATAAACTCTTAAAATAATATCTTCTAGGGAGTTGCTTTAAAATTTTCTCGGTGAGCTGGAGATGATGTTGGAACTGTTTGATATACTGATATTAATTCTATTCATTCTCCAAGTTAAA